AGACTAGAAGCTCCTTGCAGGTGGAGACCTTGTTCTTTAGTTTTATACCTGGGTCACCTGACGGCTGCTCCTGGAATACCGCAGGCACATTTAAAAAGTGTGTTGAATCAGTCAATACCCTTTTGGGTGCTGATTTAGCAACTAATTTTTGTGCAGCTTTTCTGTAATAGAGCAGGTATAAGCTGTGAGTACTGCAGTTGCAGCTTCTGCTTTCAAACACATACTCTAGTGGTGGAAGAGACATGATAATCAAGTAAAGAATTAAATTAAAAATAGAGCTTCAGATGGTTAGGAGTGCTACGATGGCAATTGATGGAGCGTTGTGATGAGCAACTGGTGGGAGGAGCTACTTTACATAGCATGGTCAGAAAACTATCTGAGGAAATGATTTTTGTTTTCTTTTTAAAAAATTTTTATTGATTCAGTGTTCTTTATTGGTGGCTTAAATTTCACTAGCACTGTTGCTCTTGTGAAGTGATTTTTTTCAAAGTGAAGTATAAACTCTTGGTATAATCTTCTCTTGATTTATCCAATAGTATGTTCCAGGAAAACTCAGTATGTCTTAAAGCTGTCTTGTACATGTAAAGTAGTTAGGCTTTAGTCTTGGAAAGGTATCAACAGGGTTTTCACCTACATGAATGTTCAGTGGGACAATCCAAGCTTGCGAAGAACAGTGAACCATTCTGTACTGTGTGAGAACATCCTGGGTATTGCAAGATGTTTAATATCTGTGCCCCCTTCCCAGCTAAAGTCTAGTGGAACCGTCTCATTGTTGTGATAAGGACTCCCCCTCTTCCAGTTGACAGAATACCTTCTAAGGGACAGTGCAGCCCCTATTAGGAACCATGGTTTTGAAGGTCTCCAATGACCTCCTAATCTTCTAATCCAGTTGCCATTTTCACTTTTTAGAGCTTTGACACTGCTTAGCCTGCCCTCCTTCACTTTTTTCCTTCCCTGTCTTCCGTGACATCGCATGCCTTGGGCTATCCTCTTCTGCACCCAGTCCCTATCAGTGTCCTGATCTGGCTCCTTGTTCACTTCCATCTGTGTAGATCTGACCTTAGTCCCATCTCTTTTCCCTTCTATTCTCTTCTTTGATGAACACTTCAACATCACTTTCAGGCAACTAATTCCCAAAGTGCTCTTTTTATGCCATTCACAATTCATATTCCCAGCTGCCACCTGAACCTCTTAGAGTGAGCCCCAAGCTAAGCATGTCTAATGTTAAACTGCTCTTCTTTCTCTAAGCCTGTTTTTCCTTTGATTGTACAAGTTCTGACAATTAAGTTCATGAATTCATCCTAGACAAAGTCTTATACACCTTCATTGCTGAATATCACTACAATCACCTTCAAAGTACTCACTTTGGAAAGCTATGCACTGATGCCAGCACCAAGTCCACCTGTCAAAGAAATTTTGGAACTCTTTTTCTGGAATAACCATCAGAGGTGTTATTGTATTACCCTTGTTGTCCTGAATGTCATCAAAATGTCTTCTCTTCAATATTTCCTTTATCTTTGGGTAAAGAAAAAAAGTCACTGGGAGCCAGATCAGGTGAGTAGGGAGGATGCTCCAATATAGTTATCTGTTTACTAAAAATTCCTTCACAGACGGTGCTGTGTGAACTGGTGCATTGTTGTGATACAAATGCTCCTTTGGGACAATTTTTGCACACACCTTTCTCATGCCAAGGTTTTTGGTTAAGATTTTCCTGTTTCTCTATCAATGTTTATTTGGTCTCCTATACTTCTCACATTCAGCCGATGGTTTTGACACATGGTTCGACACGTTTTTGCAATGTTTTCATCAGTTCTGCTCATTACTGGCTGTCCTGACCTCTCTTCATCAGTGACACTTTCTCTCCATTCAGAAAAATGTTTAATCCATTTGTTCACTACCCTTTCCTTCATCATATTATCCCCATAAACTTAGGCTAACATCCCCATAAACTTAGCCTGATTTCATTTCCACTCTTGCTAAGTTTAACAAGAAAATTAATGTTTGTTTGTTGCTCTAATTCAAGCTCTGACATTCTTGCAATGGCTCACAAAAACATGCAAGAACAGTAATGAATGCCACTCAGCAAGACACTGCTGCACATTAACACAAACACAGCTTTGAGGCCCTGATATACCAGGGTTATAAACCTTACTGAGTTCTTTGTACAGTGTTGCCAACATAAGCACACAGTGGCAAGTCCGCGAACTTAATTGTCAGGCAGACCTTGTACCTCTTTGTTTCGATGACATTGTCTACTCATTCAGCTAAGCATGGCAGTCTCCTCGATGACTCTTTCTCACTCCCCACAGCTGGTTGGTTGCAATGTTCTGTCAATTTGAAAGAAGTGATTGGAGCTAATTATTTGGGAGCAAGTCATGCACAGATTGTACACGTACTGATAAAGATCAGTACCCTGGAAAAAGCCAGTCTGATCTCACCCTTTTGATCTTTTATTTTATTTTTAAAAATTCTCCAGACTAACCTAATTTTTTCCAGACCCTGGGCATACTGCCCTGAGCTAATTTGTTTGCTCGAATTAATTATCAGCAGGGGGTGACAGCCTCATTTTCACAGAAGCCTTCTCTTTTGGAAGAAATGCCTTTTCATTCAAACAGTCTGATTTGGGTTCCTTGGCACTGAGTATAAAGGGTGCCTTGACATTTCCATAAAGACATTTAAATGTTACCGTCTCTGAAGAAACAGTTTTAGAATATGAAACCTTTATCTTTTCTTTTCCCCCAAGGAAGAAAACTATCACCAGCTTAATTATCTCTGTAAAATAACTTCCTCATTTGCTTTTCATGTTGCTTGTAGAAAAAGATAATGTAATGTTTTCAAAAAATGAGAACAATTATAGATGATTTCATGAAACTTGCTTTTGAGTCTTGTCTATTTAAATTACACTTCAATTTCGTGGTCAAAAATGCATGTAGGGTTATATATTATCCTTCCATGTTGATTCTAAAAATATCTGCTAGGAGAGCAAATACAACCGGAAAGACATTACTGTCACAGAAACAAAGAATTGAGTACCACATGTTCTCACTCATAAGCGATCCCTGAACAATTATCACAATACTATAAGAAAGGGATTGGCTGTAGCAGGAAACTGCCAGGGGAGGGAGGAGGGAGGCATACTTCATCAATAAGCATACCTGATCTCAAACCAGGTGAAGTGGGGACCAAAGTGAAGCTCAGACTTTACCTGTACAATGATCGTTTGTATACCTAACCCTGAATCATACCCCACATCTTAAATAGAAATTTAAAAAAAGAAAGAAAAGACATTGCTGGTAGTTGCTAGTCCACACTGACCTCAGATAAATTTCTTATACTTAGGAGAAGCAGCCAAAAGATACTTTGATTCAGAGAGAGAAAGAAAGAGAGAGAGAGAGAGAGAGAGAGAGAGAGAGAGAGAGAGAGAGAGAGAGAGAGAGAGAGAGAGGAGAGAGAGAGAGGAGAGAGAGAGCAAGGGAGACATATTAGACTTATTTTGCTGGATGGTCTTATTGTGGGGAGCTGTCCTCATAGCTCCCTAGCAGCATCCTTAGCTCTACCCACTAGAGGCCAGTAGCACTCCTTTCCCACACCTCCAGCTGAGAAAACCAAAAATGTCTCCAAACATTGACAAATGTCCTCTGAGGGACAACATCTCTGCTAGTTGAGAATGTCTAGTCTATATGATTTAAATAATCTGATGAAGAGTAGTCGAAAATATTTCCTTAAAATTACAAAAAGTAGGGAAAGATAGAAGAATTGAAGCCTATGGTGTATCTTTCTTAGGTAGGTCAAGGGCTCCTCAAAGGGGCCGTTATCATAACCTAAATATGGAAAGCGGTTTAAAAACAACTGAAATGGCAATATACTTGAAAAGTGCTCGGTTAATAATGCAAATATGAGCTTAACCTACTTTTGTGTTAGGCACAAGAAACAAAACAGTTCTACATATTAGCATGTCCTAATGGGACTTTTTGAGTTTGAGAGTTGGCTGTGAGTTAGAAAAGCTGGGCTAAGCTAGTAGTTTGAATTCCTACTTGGATTGGGCAAGGGGTTATTTTTTCTGTTTATCTGAGTTCAGAACTAACACAAGCAGGGTGACTTTTGAAAGTACTCATATGTTATTTGCTGTTTGGACAGGGCTAGACAAAAATGGCCTGGTTTCACTGCAAATTGGCAGTAATACATGTTTTTGAAAGTTGAAAAAGTTGAAAACAGCATAACACTCACAAGTGAATCTCCAAGAATGTCGTCTTCTTGTCCTTTAGAATAAACACCTGTTTTGCAAATAGGAGGATGAAAGACATCTTTATCAAGAAATTGTGGAATTTTTTGATGTCTTTATTTGCATTATTATACCTTTAATAAATGAAAAAAGTAGTATAATTTAAAATATTGCAATTTGTGTAATCATATTTTAAAGGAGCAGCAAAAACAATAAAACCTTCCACATTTAATCAGGAAGTTCAGTTAAGCCCTTTGAGCTAATTTTCTTTACTGACTTGAAAAGCAGAGTAAATACAAAGGTCTTTTTCTTTCTTTTTATTAGACCTGCATAGAATTTAGAAAAAAATGTATTTTTCTAATTGACGTGGTAGAAAAGTGTGGTTCTCATCTTTGAAAGCAGCTGTTTGCTCCTCCCATGCTGTAAGTCCTGTAGGTCCTGCCTTGCTCACTGTCTCCAATGACTGCAGCAAACACACTCAGTGACTAGGTCTTCCTGCCACCAGTGCTGTAGTACGTATCATGATGAGAACATTGGTGGATAAGTGGGATCACTTATTTTATACTTGGGATCATAAAAAAGTATGATAAAAACAGGTTTTCTTCATATTTCCCTGAATTCCATATTTCAATTTTACCCCAAGAGACCCAGCTCCTGAAATCCAATCTGTTTGTGCCGTACTCTCCAGTGAATACCCAACTACCTTCCTTGTAGTCTGGTCCAGTGTGGGCTTTGAATGAAACACACTTGACAGCGGGTCTTTCTCTCTATCCCTCAGGGTACCACGGCCTCTACTGTGAAGAGGAATATAACGAGTGCCTCTCTGCTCCGTGCCTGAACGCCGCCACCTGTAGGGACCTTGTTAATGGCTATGAGTGTGTGTGCCTGGCAGAGTACAAAGGTAAGAGGCTGCTTGGCCTTCTTGTGCCAGAGTGGCTCTAGATGATGTCATGGATTTCTGAACTTAAATGCATAAACCTCTAATTGGAGCATGAGGTTGTTTAGAATAAAAATCAAATGCTGAAGCTGATATGATTAATGGGTCCAAGGAGACCAATTTGCAAGTGTTAGATTTCCTCTTGATAAATTGAAAAATCTCTCTTCTGCCCTCTCCTTCTTCTTGTATCCTCACTTTCTTTTCTGATGAATGTGTTAAAAGCTGAAAACAAAAAGTGATATTAAGGTGGACTGTCAGATGTAGGTCCCAGGCCATGGCTATGAAAAGTGCGCAAGAAGAAAGTATGTTGCCCTATAAAGCTTGCTGTGCTGAGATAGGGTGCTGTGCTTTCTGGGGAGTCTCACATGTTGACAAAAAAGTTACTTCTCATTAAATGACTCCATTGGGAGGGAAATGTTAGTTCATTTGAATGGACCTATGTCAATATCACTTTGGAAAAACAGCCGACATTGACAGAGTGGTTATAATGTACAGACCCTGTACTGACCCCTAATGCGCATTAGTTCAGTGAATCCTCCCAACAACCCCTTGAGGTGGAAGGTAATGCTATCCCCCATGAGCCTGGTCAGCATGGTTTTGAAAGCCCTTTCTCCCTACCTCTCCATTGCCCTCTGGCCACGTGCTATGGATGATGTGGCTTCACTGAGCCCAGACACCCTCAGGCAGCGCTGTGCCAGGAGAGCCTGTTTATCAACTGTTGTACACATTTCTCTAAGCCATAACTTCAGGGCTGGATTTAGATTTTGTAATGTTTTGTGGGCTCTATTTATAGACATTTCACTTAACCTCTTGCTCCCATCACTGCTTGGTTGATACCATCCACCTGCCTAGTAACTTTCCATTCTGACCGCCATAGCTTCTCTTTGGATGGATCCTTTATTTAGTGACCTTTTTGGCAGGTCTTGAGGCCTTACAGGCAACACGGAAAAACTTGATCAAGCACTTAGATAAAACAGTCTAAAGCTGGTCCAATTCTTTAACTTATGTTTGGCAGATCTGATGCTTCTGTGTGTTGCTCATTTAGAACCAAACTCCACCAACTTTCACAAGGGCATAAGAGCAGGTGTGCTGGCTTCATCCTTGTGGATTTTCACTTCCAGGTTTATCAGAGCATTGCTAAATAGGGAGTTAGTTCAATTCTGGACAGAAGAATACAAGGGCAATGAATCAGGAGACCTGAGTAGCTCATCCTAATTATGCCACTGGCTTCCTGTTGGGTCTGGATAAATCTCTTAAACTGACTGGTCTTTATTTTCTCTGCATAAAGTATACTAATTCTTACAGAGATTTTGTGATTCTTTCAATAACAGACTTAGCAGTGGTATATGTGCTTCAATTTTTTTTAAATACCTCAGTTCTTTAGTTTATGATAGACTTTTCATGAAGCAGATTTCATCTTTATAAATGACAAAATCATTAACTGGCTGTATTCTAAATATTCCCCCTTTCTGTCTTTGAACCTTGGCTCATGTTATCATTATTAAGAAGTAAAAGATTACTATTGCATATGATGTATTCCACTAGTGTCTTTGCAAATTCATTGACTGTGATGCTAGTCTTTTTCCATTTTTTCTTTTGTTTTTCTCACTTCTCCCAAGTCCCACATTGACCCACTCACTCCTAGGATGTAACTGGCTTCACCCCCATGTGCATGGAATAAAAGAAAGTTGTCATTTATAAACATCTTCAGTTTATCTAATTTTTCTATATCCTACCTCTATGTTTCTCAAGCTTGAGTGTGCATCCGAGTCTGCTGGTGGGCTTGATAAAAACCTAGATTACTGAGGACTACCCTTATAGTTTCTAATTCACTAGGTCTAGGATGGGACCCAAGGATTAGAATTTTTGGTACGTTCTCAGGTGATGTTGATGTGCTGATCCATGGACTACTCTTTGAGAACTCTTGCCCTACAAACTTATCTTCAATCACAGCCAAACTTTATCTTCCATATTGGCTCATCATGTGCTCCTCGTTCTGCTCCAATTCATCCTTTCCTATATGCTCTTCATTTTTCCCCTTTCATCTTTCTGAGAACTTTTTCTAGCCCTTGTTTTTTCTCTGCATACTTTCAACCTTTTACCCTCTCCTTGCTCCTCTCCTTCAACCTATAAATATGTTCAGGCATCCCTTACTCTGAGAAAATAAAGATTCTAGAAAGATGGCGGCTCACATCTACATTTAATATCCCTGATCCCTCCCAACTGGCTTCTGGGGGTGACCCAAGAAGGCAGATGACTCTAAAGGGAATTTCATACACATGTGTGGAGTTGGGGTCTCACGTAAAGGTGCAGGTGCTGGAAGCCTCTGCTTTCAATAAGAGTAGGAGATGAGGGTTCCAGGGAGAACTGAGGGCTCAATGAACAGTCGAGGCCAAAAGGTAACTACATGTGACACTGTGAGGTAGAGGTGGGTACTGATCTGACTGGCCTCTAAGAGATTGCATAGTTGGACTGAGATGGTCCTTTCTTTATTGTGTGGCTGAGTTAGAAGGGTTTCTCCCTGCGCACACCTGGAGAGCTCAGAGAAAACCAAACTGGGGGACCTCCTGCCCCATGCCTTTATAGACAGGACCCATTTGGCTGACCAATCTAGCACTTGAGGAGAATCTCCAGTGTTGTCTGTCTCTGCCAAGATTTCCACTCTCTAGCCTGGCCAGTACATGGAGCCCACACCAGTAACTCAAAGATGGATAAAACTTTTAGAAAGTAAAAGAGCAACAATAACTGTAAATGCTCAAAAGAGGAAGTGAAATAAGTAACGTATACTACTCAAAATTGAATTTGGAGCTGAAAAAGCAAAAGGAGGAACTATCACGTAATAGATGTCAAAATATGAGGAAATGGAAACTATGAGTGAAAAGATAGGAAATGCAGAGAGAAGATTCAAGAGATCTGTTTCCATCTGAGCGATGGATGCTCCAGAAGAAAGAGCAAATGGAAATAAAACCAGAATCAACTAATTACTAGGAGAAATCTGCACGCTGAAGAAAATCTTGTTTTTAAGTAGAATGGGCTTACATGGTGGTAGAGGGATTGATGAAAAAGATGTTACACAATTTGAGATTTTCTGGTAAAATATCTAACTATAAGGATAAAGAGAAATTTTTACAAGAGTCTACATAGGGTGTGCAGGTTAAATACAAAAGAAAGAACTAAACTGGTTCTTTTTGGCTAATCCTTTCTATAATGGAGGTAAACAAGAGTGGAACCATGTTTTATACTTTTAACTGGAAGGGACTGGGAATTACAGAATCATTTATATTTGAAGGTCAAAGAGAGACATTACTGCACCTTCAAGGATACAGAAATCATAATACCCTATACCCTAAGATAATTATTTCTAAAAAGTATCCTCATCAAATAGAAACTAAATCAGAACAAAGATATCCAGATGGGGGAAGGTGGAGAATGGGAGGAAGAGGATTGGGCAGACCTCTGTAAATGCCAGGATAAACCTAAATAGATGATATTACTGTGATTGTGAAAGATAATTTAACGGAGAAGGAAAGTCTTTTTAAAAAATAAATTATACTTGCTGTATTAGTTATCTATTACTACATAACAAATTACTGCACATTAGTGACTTAAGACGACACTTTTTTTTTTTTTTAAGAGATAGAGTCTTGTTACCCAGGCTGAAATGTAGCGGTGCAATCATAGTTCACTGCAGCCTTGCACTCCTGGGCGCAAGCCATCTTCCTTCCTCAACCTCCCAAGTAACTGGGACTACAGGCATGTACCACCATGCCCAGCTAATTCAAACAAATTAGAGATTGGGTCTCCCTATGTTGCCCAGGATGGTCTCAAACTCTTGGCCTCAGGTGATCCTCCTGCCTCAGCCTCCCAAAGTGCTGAAATTACAAGTATGAGTCACCATGACCTGCCAACCTCCTGCATTTTTTTTTTTTTTTTATTACCTAACAGTTTTGTCATTCCAGGCAAGGCTTGATGGATACCTCACTCAAGGTCTCACAAGGCTGGAATCAAGGTGTTGGCTAGGCTAAGCTCTCATCTCAGACTTGAATAGTGACGGATCAACTCCTAAGTCCCCTCAGGTTATTGACAGAATTCATATCCTTGTAGCTTTAGATTTTATGACAGCTTGCTTTTTGGAAACCAGCCACCATGAAAGATCACAGAGCCTCTGCTACTTTGAGTCTCTAACCTCAGGGAAGGCCTGGCCCCTCCTTATGGTTTACCTGATTAGATCAGGCTCACCTAGGCTGAACTCAGTTAACTGATTAGGGTTGCATCTTCAAAAAACTCTTAACTGCCATGTGCTCTTAGTCAGGAGCACACACTCAAGGGGAAGGAATTACACAAGGATGTGACTACCTGTGTGTCACCCTCGGTCATGTCTGCCACTCTTCCTCTTATGAAAAATTTAAATAACCAAACTTGTTTCATATTATTTTAACCAAACCCATGATTTGGAAGGGGTGGGGCTAGAAATGTTTGGAAGACATACAAGCATGTTGAAGATTTCACTTCAATGGGAAGGTTAAGTATTTATTTCATTTTAGTATATTTATGAAGATATTACAGATTCGGTTTAAATAAGACTACTAGAAACAGGAAGGTAAACCCTAGAGCAGTGTAGCAGTAAATGGTAGAACTTCTAAACTAAGAGTGGTAAGGTGAAAAGGGCAGGTAGAAGGAATTAAAAAAGACACGGAAAGAGCTGAATCACGCTGTTTAGACCAGAAGAAGAGTCAGAGGCCACAAGATCCTGTGCTTTTCTCTCTTGGGAGATGGACAGTCTCTTCTCTTTGGAAGCATTTTTGCCAACATATAGTTATATATGGTATGTCTGTATACATTTAGAAAACTATCAGATGGGTGGGCATTAATTCCTAACTGGTGGTTATTTGGATAGAACTTGGATAGGTAGAATGTTAGGGGTAGGATTCTGCTTTAACTTTACATAAGCATTTTCTAAGTGA